TCTTAGTGGCTAAACGAATAATTTAATATCAAATGATCCCGTCAGCCTTGTTGCCGCACTGGATTGGAAGCATATGGCCTCATGGTTTGCCTGGTTCTTTCGAAGTAGCGATGCTACAGCCTGGTGACATGAGTTACATCATTGCCCAAGCCAATGAAAACCAGCCGAGGATAAAATGAGCGACTTCCGTGCACACAACACCGAATACGAGAAATATTGGTTCCATATCACTCCCCATAAAAGATGCACCACGTGATCAGTGACTTGATCAGCGGTTACAGTTGTAGGATGAGTGAAGCCATCACGAATTACTCTCGACGTTTTGAGATTTTAAATGCGCATCATTTTGGATGGGGATAATTCAATGATAATCATAGCTGCCGGCTCTTCGTGGGCGGTTAACCTGCTAATCAGTTTTGGATGTGCAATGGGAAAATACAATCCAAAAAATGATCTCAAGATGTGAAATTAAAATGCTCAGTTTAAAGTTGTCCACGTTGTCTCGAAGTAGGTTTCCATGAAAATAAGCTCTTAACGAGAAAAAATAACCGGGATTCTCACATATTCAGACCACAAATTCCCTTTCGTCTTTTACCTGGTTACAGTGTGGCATACTCCTTTGCTGTAATTTATATCCCCGCCCCCACCCCCCGAAAAACCGTGCTTTGCAGAATTTATTGAAGGTATAAGTTGAATTCATAAAACTCTCACGTCCCATTGTGACTCAATAAACACATATTTTATACTGAGTAAGGCAAGTATAATTTTTGCTTTTCAGGAGGTAGGATAAATTATTCAAATATTGTCGCATTACCAATAAAAACAATGCACCGATTCCAATAAGACTCATTGAAACCTTTTTCTTTCACTCTCCAATTTTCGCAACCATTGTTGTGCCTCGGTGGGAGAAACATTTTCTCAATGAATCCTAGTCTGACCTCCCCACCCCCACTCTCGCCACCATGCCAGCCCGCAATAGACTCTGAGCATTGATTCAGCAAAACAAGCAGCTTCATTAACACCACATAATGACTTTGGTGGGAGCACTCCGTTTCACTTGTTCGCATTTCAATTGGAATGGGCGATTGGTATCATACGGGAAGATCGACAGTGCTACAATTTTAGTGGCAAAAATCGAAACGTGGAAACTCACGCACCGCTTAGAATAAGAGCGGCGCTCCAAAACTACGTAAGAACGTGCAGAGAAAGACGTTGCCACAAAAACGTCACTTTTTCTTCACGTGAGATTGGTGCTTGAAAGATATGAGCTTGATATCATTTGTCGTTTGATTTCTCAAATGCACATCAGCGGACACACTATAATCTGAACTCTCGAGCTCCTTTATTTTGCATGAGACGATACGTCCAAGAGGCTCGGGCAGGGAAAAATGATATAATGTTTTGTGTAGATTAGTATAGTACGGGAAGGCAAGTATTCTTCTGCGTTGAGGAAAAAAGAACCGCAGAACTGCGGGTGGTGGAAATCTGAAACAAAAACAGAAATTGTTGGAGAAACTTAGCAAGGTCTAGCAGCATCTATGGAGTGAAAGCAGAAATTGACATTTCTGAAGAAGGAACAAAAACAGAAGTTGCTGGAAAAGCTCAGCAGGTCTGGCAGCATCTGTGCAGAGAAGTCAGAGTTAGCGTTTCGATCTGGTGACCCTCAGAACTTTCTGAAGAAGGACGGGAAACGTTAACTCTGCTTTCTCTCCACAGGTGCTGCCAGACCTACTGAATTTCTTCACTGGTATGGCTCAGTGGTTAACACTGCGTGTGAAGTTTGCACATTCTCCCAGTGTCTGCGTGGGTTTCCTCCGGGTGCACCTCCCACAGTCCAAAGAAGTGCAAATTGTCCATGTTAAATTGTCTATACCATTCAGGGATGTGTAGGCTAGGTGGATTTGCCGTGGAAAATACAGGGTTGCAGGGATGGAGGTGGGGAATGGATCTGGGTAGGACGCTCTTTGGAGAGTCGGTGTGGACTCGATGGTCCGAAAGGCTTGCATCCCCCGTAGAAATTCTACGATTCTATTAGTTTCCCTATTGTTGTGGGCGTCAACCTGATCTGACGGGGTTACTCGATTACAATGGCAAGAGTGTAAATATCTCTGAAATGTGACGAGACCTCGTCATTTCAACATTTTTTACTGTAACATTGTCATTTCAACAAGCGAGCGAACCACCAACCAATCACCACGAACAGTTCCTTTGCATGAGTGCTTAGTTGTAAAAGCATATTGCTTTATAACGTTATCTCACTTCCGCCGTCTTTCATCATCTCTGCTGCAGTTTATTATTTAATCCAGTATGACGTTATATTTTAAACCATCTTTCCTTATGCCGTCAATCTGAACGACAAATCAAAAATCCTACTCTGCTTGAGACAGAATGCAAGTCATGAGTTCTTCAAGTCAATTTCGTGTAAGTGAAATGAGGGTTCCGAATTAATTTCACGCTGTAATCTAAGCGAAGGCTGTAAATATAGCTGATGCTTGTGTTGTATTTCAAATAGTGTGCAGTAAGTGTGTATGAATTCTCTATTCTTTTATGTTTGGCTAAACAGTAAAGTTTACCGTTTCTGTGAACCTGGAAACATAGCGTTAATAACATTTAATACAACTGTCATTTTCATGATTTTGAAGGCAATTTTGCACCTGGTGTAATCAATATCTCAAAGGGCTGGATATACGCGATTTGGACAGTTTAAAAAATAAAACACTTGCATTAATTTGGCGCCTTTCACGACCTCTGGACATCGCAAATACGTTTTACAAATTTACTTTTTCGCTATTACTAAATAAGGAATTCGGCGGCCAATTTACGCTAAGCAAATTAACAGCAATGTAATAACAACCAAATTATTGTATCTGATGTTCACTGACGGAAAGATATCAGCCAGGGATAAGGAGATAACTCCACAGCTCTTCTTCGAAATATTGCCGTGAGATTTTTAGGTCCACACAAGAAGGCAGACAAAATCCCAATTTACCCTTTTGATCTGAAAGATGGCATCTTCGATGGTACAGTTGTCCTCCAGTCAACCTGCCTGATTTCTTTGAAGCTAAAACAAATCGAAATATATCAGCAAAGAAATGCTCATTCAAACACAGAAACCATATGCAATCCTTTATCTCCCCAGCAGGTACTTATTCAACATAGATCTATTCTGCACTTTCTGGATATTTTTCTCATATAGCTATTACTATAAATACAAGTTTAACGTATAAAAATACGATGAAAACACCCTGCTATTTGAATGCACGAAGTGATAAAGAAAGTTTAATTCTAATGACACTTCATGCTCGATGTATTTCAACAGAAAGTCCATTGGATGTAGGGCAAATGCCTGCACATGCGCAGTTTCCTTGCCTTGTAACCTTCCACAGTGCCGGAACAAATTGGAGTCATCGCATCAATTTCATCAAAGCCTCACCTTGAGCAGATTGAAATGTCATTTACTAGGAGAATTTTTATAAACTAGATGTTCTATGTAAGTTAACCTGATAGATGAAATGCAAAATAAGATGACAAAATAAACAAACAAACGAGAGTTTCGTTATGAAAATTACTTTTTCGAGGTCAGAAATCAGACGACACCAGTTTATAGTCCAACGGGTTTATTTGAAATCACAAGCTTTCACAACATTGCCCCTTCATCAGGTGAAGCCACTTTGTCCACCCCATTCCAACTCCGGCACCTCCATATTGTTACTTTTTCCAGCAATTTTATTTTCCGTGTGGGCTGATTTTTTGAGTTTACATCATCGAATTGCAAATGTCTTCAGAGCAGTCACAGCGTCTTATGCACTAAGCGACCTTTTAGATTAAAATGGAAAAAAAAGACGTCATATTTACCGTAATATCACTACTGCTTTTTTTCAATGCTTTCGAAAAGTGAACTCATCCGTCTGTTAAAATCCGGATTTTGTCAATATGGAAACTTTTTCATTTATTTGGAATTGAGTGAGAATTATATACCAGTTTCAAATAGTTTCAAAAATATTCCTTAAAGATTTATTGTAAAGGAATAAACAGATACTGGCAATAGTATTGAACTGTTTCATTTGGACAAACTACTCATAAATATAACATAAATCGTAAATCTCTTCAGAAGAAAATCAACAGATCTAATGAGTTTTATCCAAGTATAATTCTACTGGAGACATGGAAGTGGTTTATGATTAAATAATTTCACTAAAAGAACCCAAATGAAGATCACGTGTTTAAATTTTACGTTCCTTGATAGGTTATGTTGCTGGTCCAGTTTATATAAAATTTTGACGCTATGTGCTAATTGCTACGGATAACCCCCTCCTCCCTATTCAGACCTGTAAAATTAGTTAATAATTAAGGAGATTATCGCCAAGGTCTCTCCAGCTTAATAAGGTTGGGCACTTATGAGTCAACAGTTGTAATACATGCATATAGGCTTGCAAAACAACCTTTATCAAAACAGACTGTGATCATAAGGGGCAATAGTATCTGACCGAGCATGCAAAAAATTGTAATCAAGCCCTCAGCAACTTCATAAGTATTCAAAACTCGTCAACGTCTAAGCATTCATTCTTAACACTTTCACGGATATGTGGATACGATGACAAATGAGTTGCTTAATTGTCCTTGATAAAGTTGAAACAGTTTCAACGTAAATATCACCGTCGTATAGTCAATGCAATGATGATGATTCTATTTTCAAAAATAGACAAATCCCGAAATTGCTAATTAATTTCGCCTCGCAACTGATGTATACATAGATTTGTTTAGCATAATAGTCACGTGTGATCTTTAAAATAATTGGATTTTCATGTCTGTGCTGTGGAATATTTACTAACGCGTAAATTGAAATCACACGGAGACGTTTACAGAATGCACCGTACTTTTAAAAATTACTTCGGACGTCCTTAAACAGTCATTTCATGACGACAGAAGCTCCTGATTGACAGCCTAGCGCCGGGTCAATAAGATGCACTTCAACAGCCCCAAGGCCGTGACGTCTGAATAATAGAGGCGGGCCTTGAAATGCTGATTGATGCGTAATTACCCCAGTAACAGATTAACTCCGATCTAGGGCGGCCAGAATTACTAAACTGGCTTTACAGTTTCACTTTTCTCATTCAGCACTTTGGAAACATGGCTACTCATACCAATGTATCATGTAGTGGCCCTCCCATTTTAAAGGTAAGTGCGTGTTCAAGTATTTTTGCGTCAATTATTATTGATTTACTTTGACCTGTTTGGTAAAACTTGATAATTGTTATATTGATGGGCAAAAAAATGAAACTAAACTTAGTCGCTCCTCACGGAGCTAGCAACAGCGCACAGGGCACGCCTTCGTATGCGCCTGCGTCATCTGTATCGGAGCCAAATCCAGCTTTAGAGAGCACTTGTTTTACATTCAGGTACGAACATCCTGAACATTGTCGAGAAACCACAAAATCTGGCAAACGACGCATCTTTAAATATATATCTTAAATGACTTATACTGTGTTTTAATTACAGTATCGTTGCAAATTGGTTGTAAAAGTGTGATTGCGGGGTTTGAAGTCAACACATCAACACAGAATGCCAAGGAGTTGAACAATACATTTAATGATGAATTACGCGAATTTCGGAAAATGTTCCTTTTTGAAACAATGGGTAACGGAGGCGACCTTTAGCTACCAATTTAAATTCTTCTAAAATCTGAGTGGATGAAGTCGATTCATGTTAATGAAAGCAGACAACAAAACAAATAATAAGAAAGTTTGATGTAATCCGATACGTTCAATGCTTTCTAAATATTACAAAATACACGATTACTAAAAAGATTGAAATGGATATACATGTAAATAGATTGTATATCTTCTGAGCAGTAATAGATGCGATTAACTGTTAAAACACAGGCGCTAGTTAGCTGCATACGGTTTATAATTTAAGTTAACGTTTCGAGTTGGTGTGCCCCGAAACGTTAACGCTGCTTTTACGTAGATGTTCCAGAGCTGATGAGTTTCTTCAATGCTTTTTTTCTGTTTAAAATTTCCAGCATCCACAGTTCTTTGTTTTCTTATAGTTTCAGTTACTATTTTTTTCATATTAGCCCTTTTCGAAAGGTATAACATTGAATTTTGGAATATATGGATGTAAGTATTGCGAATATGGATTGGTCTTGGTGAACTACTCTTTCACAGACAATTACATACATTAAATAGCAAACAGGTCTGCGCTGAAAAAAGGTTATTATCGTTATTTTTGTTCTTTTTGTCACCTGCGTGGCGTTATTCCTGCACGAACAAACAACTCGAATGACACGTTTTGCTTGGATAGAGTCGTCAGTCAAGATTTATTTGTTGCATTATGTTGACTATATAAACGATTTCTCGCCATGATCTGTAATCAAGTCAAAACACCAGCTGCTAACCACTTTATGTGCAGCAAAGGCGTTTGTATTCAGAACCATCGGTAAAATCCTGAGACACAGCTACTTCAACCATTTCCGCTTTAACCTTTCAAGACATGAATATTTTACCGTTCACAGTACTGAATTCACATTTTATTATGTGTTCTTAACATAAATGTTTTCTGCCCCAGGAGATCATGCTTGATTGTGCAATCATCTTCTTGCTTAGCGTGCGTCCAAATGAATACGCACCACAGAAAACTGCATGGAACAGCTAATCATGATTTTTTTCATCTAAAAATGGGGCTTGCGTGGTAGATTCGGGATCACGGGCAGAGTACACAACACTGTAACAAAGCCTAGGCTGGTTGCTGCTGCTACTCCACTTAGGGTAATGCGAACAATTCCTAAATATAAAAGGAGTGCAAGTCAGTCAGAAAAACGCAGTATGTTTGCGGGGAACGGGAGGGGCTTGAGATCGTCGAGTTGCAAACTCACACGCTGAACACTTGCGAACAAAGTAAAAGGAATAGATAATGAAAGAAGAGCCCAAGCTCTGCCACTGGGTCCTTTCACGCGCTTCAGCTCACAATTACAAAGTGGCGACGTCGGCCAAGATTGGTGAGTATCCCCTTCCGGTTCGTCGCCGTGGTAACCGCAGCACAGCACAATTCACTGGTTGTCTTGGACACACGGTAGAGCGCAACAGTGTTAGCAGCAGCCGCAGATGTCTGAGTATGCAACACATCTCATCCATTAGATTTCTACATTAGAGTACAGGCACCATGACTCAAAGACTAGCTTTACAAGGTAAAAATCTTTCGGAAATTCTAAACATTATTGACTTATTTTGAAGACTACTCTTGGAAATGGGGATTTGGTGGAAGCTGTTGTCTTTGACGGGCAGGAGGTATATGTAAAGTTACTTATTTTTTCTGAAGTTGTAATTAAGCAGCGACTATTTATATAAAGTAAAAGAGAAACTTGCACAATACTCCTCACTGGCTCAGGGTGTCCCAAATTGCTTTACCCATTACATTTTTAAATACTAGGTAATTGTAATCATTGTAGTTAAGCAGAGAACCAGGCAGCAATTTCCCACAGACAGAAATGTGATAATGAACAGGTATTTCTGTGTTGTCATATTGTTTGAGAAGTAAATATTGGCCAGAGAATTCCCCAGTTATTTGAACAGGCCATGGAATCTTTTATGGACCCCAGCTGGTCAGGCAAGACCAGCTCATCTGGAAGACAGCACTTTTACAACAGCGAAACAGTCTTTAAGGACTGTACAGGAGTATCAGCCTAGGTTTTCTGTTCACATCTCTGGAGCCAGACTTGAATGCACAACTTTTCAGACTCAAAGGCAAGAGAGCTACGACTGAACCACAACTCATATTGTGTGTGCTATTGAGACTGTTGTTGTATCATTATATGTGTGAATTCTTACAACTGAAGAATTTGTTCAATTTTAATTCTGTCCCAACAGTTTTTGAACAGTACCAGAAGGCTAGAGCACAATTTGTACAAACAATTGCAGAACTTGCAACAAGGCCACAAAATATTGAAACTCTACAAAATGCAGGTAAGATGCAACCAACATTGTTCTCAGCATTCAGTGGTAAATTTGCATTGTGGAAAAATATATTAGCTGCTGATCTTTGTGAAAGTAGGAAGTGACCATTAATTTCCATTCAAGACCATAAAAGCTGTATCACAATGAGTAAGTATTAAATGTCTAAGTATATGGTTTTGTAACAGTTTGATTCAAATTTGTATGGTAGGCAGAAATGCATGTGCTTTACTGAAGTCTAGAGATCACATTCTGTATACATTTCCCAGTTATTAATTAACTAGCTTTTCTATGATGGATGGAATTACATTACTAGATGTGTTAACAATTTCCATTTATATAGTGTTTTTAGTACAGTAAAACAATCTTAAGATATTTCATAAGAGTATAACTGGACAAAAATTGGTTACAAGATGGTAATATTTAGACAAGTGACTAAAGTCTAAGAAGTAGATATGGGTTTCAGTGGAATATATAGGAATGCACAGAACTGAAAAGATTTAAATTGTGTCCTACCTGGCCAGTCCGCATGTCTTTGCGTTATCAGATTCCATGATATCTGTCATATTTTTCTAAAAAAGGCATTTCTTGAAGACTTATTTGAATTTGATGATGCAAACACCAGCTTCCCAACCCTCTCCACTCTATTATCAATTTGTAATTGTTCATTGCATACCAGGATACCAAGTGTCTTTTTTCCCTTTTGGGGTTCCACCTGATGTTAACTGTTTGGTTTTGGTGGCTATATTTTCATTCCCACTAACTTCTTTTTTAGGTATTGTATTCATGTAATAACAATACCTTTTGAATTTGTTGACATAAGGGTATTTGTACTTTACAGTTAAAGTCACAACTCACAAGTAAAACATTCATTTCCTAGATACCATGGTATTTAAACTGACTTAAGACAACAGACATAAGATGGCAACAAAAGTTTTTTTTAAAAATACTGACACAAACTTTTACACATGTAAAGCCATCTTCTGTAGACTGGTAAGATAACAGCTAATATATGTAGATGTTGGTGTGTTCGCCAAGCTGGGAGGTTTGATAGCAGAAATTTAGTCTCCTTGCTACGTGACATCCTCAATGCTGTGAGCCTCCTGTGAAGCACTGTTGTCTCATGCCGGTTCAAATTTATATGGTCTGGTTTTTGCTGCTTCCGGTAGGTGCTGTCCTCTGTTTGGCTTGTCCACTATCATTACTAAAATCATTGGACAATCCAAACAGAGGACAACCAGGGAATTCTTGGAGGCTTTGCATTCATCTGCGGACTCCGTCAACAAACACATGTAATTAGATCTGACATACTGACCATTACAATGCACAGCTGGAACCGGCACCTAATGGAAGCAGCAAAAACCAGACAAAATAAATTTGAACCGGCACAAGACAACAGCACTTCACAGGAGGCTCCACAGCACTGAGGATGTCACCTAGTAAGGAGACAAAACATCTGTTATCAAACTTCCCAGCTTGGCGAACACACCAGCATCTGCAACAGCACTTGAGCCACAAATCTTCACTCAAACCCTGAACAGCTAATATATTTCCATTATGTCCTTGAGGTTGGAATATTTTATCCAAGAAATGACCACTCATTTTACTGCATCTCAGATTAAAATTTAACAATTGACTCAGTGTTCATTGCCAATAGTATCCACTACATTTGTATCAATATAGTTCCTGAATAGTCTCAAATTAGATATACCATATTCATTTGCAAGTAATTCATTACTTCAGTGATTTCAAGATTTTCCATCTCAGAATTAGTTGGGTATTGCTTCGCTTTCAGGCTTGAAACTATGTTCACTTTATTTCTTGCAAACTCCTTCACACTCTGTACCATCTGCTGCAGCCTACCCATCTCTTGCTCCACCTGGGCAGCCTCACCCTTCTCTGCCCTAAGGCCACATCCTCTCTGCTCTGTTCTGAGGCCTCTCTGTGACTCTCTGTCTCTCTCTCTCTCTAGCGCTTGCTTTCCCTCTCTCTCCTGGCTCTGTACATCTACTCCCTGAAGTCCACCCCCACCCCCACCCCCCCCCCCACCCCCCCCCCCAACCCTTGCAGACTCCCACTCTTTCCCTTGTCCCTGTAGTGTCTTTTATCTCCCCTCCACCACCCCACCCCTGTGTCCTCCATTTCTTTCCCCACTACACTCCCCATCTGTTTTCCCACAGCCAGCTTGAATCCTAGCTGTCTGTCAAAGCCCACTTATGGCCCCCATGTCCTCCTTACTCCTAGCCCCCTTATGACTTACTTGTCTCCCTGTGCTTAGGGCAGCCATCCTCCCCCTTCCAACGTTTCTGGATCTGGTGGCAGATGTTTTCCCCATATGCTTTGAACTTTGTTGCATAGATTAGTTATCAATTTCTGTGAATATTGCTTAAATCTGAATAATTATTGCACTGTGCCTTCTAATTCTGAGGCCTTAATCACTTGTAGAATCAAGGCCTACGCGAAAGATCTTTGAGTCTTGGCTTCAGTTCCCAGTTAACTTTCTTTCAAAATTGTTTACACCCATACACAAAACTTCCCATCTGGATGGACCAGTGATTTGTGCAATTACAGCCTCACATCCTGAGCTTTGTACCCCAGCGCTCTGGCGACGCCAATCAAGATCCATTTGCTGTTGATGGTTTCACTGATCTATTACCACAAAATACTGCTCCTGCATTGTGCTTTATTTTCTTGAATAATACAGTTCATCTTAAATTGTTATTCTTTATGATGTTTTTCTACAATCTGTTTGTACTTTCTGTCATTAAATGGTGACCCTCTACTCATTATCTCAGCATCTTGCCATATCTAGCTTATTTTCTGCTATTTGCAGTCCTTCCTAATTTGGTCTTACTGGTATTCTTTATTTATTGAGAACTTGACATGATCCTTCATTTTTCCAGGGTTGGAAAAGTATTTGGGATGGGCAATGAGGGAAAGAGTGGGCAGTATCACAAATCAATGGTTATATCTGAGAATCGCCATTAGTGTACAGCAGCAGATGTAATGCTGGATTGTAAACATTAAATGTCACTTATTGTAAGATGATTGACCTGTTGATTGTGAGATAAATAATGACATGATCAAAACCTGGAATGTTTGGTAGGATTCAATGGTACTTAAGTAACTGCTAAGATCAATTTGTAGCTGCAAGGTTTTCCTGCAGATGATTGAGGTTCAGATAAGTTGCAGCCTTTGGGTTTAATCTCCTTTCATTTTTCCTCTGCCACTGATACACTTTTACTTTCAAAGGAGGCCAGACCATTTTTTTATTTGGTTGTGTCATGTGCAGCAATCCTGGGCAATATTTCCCAGGACTTGGGGTCCATACCAAAAGTTCTAAGAGGATCCTTCAGATTTTCATTATAATTCTTCCTTTGATTACCATGAGACCTCAAACTCAAGATTCCCATTGAAGTAAAAGTATTCTTTTCTGGGAATACCATTCAGATCTTCATTGATGTCCATAAGACTTCCTTTTAAAAGCATGGATTAGGCATTCTGGCTACATGACCAGGCCAACTCAATTGTGATTGTCTAAATATTGTGTGAATTCTGAACATGCTTGGTTGATCACCTCAGTGTCTGGTATTTTGTCCTGCCATTTGATCTTCAGAAGCTTCCAAAAGTAGCTCAAACGAAAGTGGTTGAGTTTCTTGGCAAGAATTTTTTTAAAATTCATGCACTGGGCTTCACTGGTGAGGCCAGTATTTATTGGCCATCCCCAATTACCCAGAGAGCAGTTAAGAATCATTTGGTTTGGGGTTAGATATAGGCCAGACTATATAAGAATGTTTTTAAGGGTAGGTGATGGCCTAGTGTATTATTGCCAGACTATTAACCCAGAAACCCAGCTGATATTCTGGGGACTTGGGTTCGAATCCCACCACGGCAGATGGTGGAATTGGAATTCAAAAAGAAGTCTGGAATTAAGAATCTATTGGTCACCATGAAATCATTGCCGATTGTCAGCAAAACCCATCTGGTTCACTAATAACCTTCAGGGGAGGAAATCTGCCATCCTTCAATGAAGAGTGCAGGAGGGCATGCCAGGAGCAGCACTAGGCATACCTGAAGATGAGATATCAACCTGGTGAAGCCACCAAACAGGACTACTTGCACGCCAAACAGCGAAAGTAGCAAGTGATAGACAGAGCTAAGCGATCCCACAACCAACGGGTCAGATCTAAGCTCTGCAGTCCTGCCACATCTAGTCATGAATCGCAGTGGACAATTAAACAACTCACTGGAGGACTAGGCTCCAAAAGTATCCCCATCCTCAATGATGGAAGAGCCCTGCACATCACTGCAAAAGATAAGGCTGAAGCATTCGCAGCAATCTTCAGCCAGGAGTGCCGAGTGGACGATCCATCTCGGCCTGCTCCAGTGGTCCCCAGCATTACAGATACCGGCCTTCAGCCAATTCGATTCACTCCACGTGATATCAAGAAACGGTTGGAGACACTGGATACTGCAAAGGCTATGGGCCTTGACAACATTCCGGCAATAGGACTAAAGACTTGTGCTCCAGAACTTGCAGCTCCCCTTGCCAAGCTGTTCCAGTACAGTTACAACAATGGTATCTACCTGACAATGTGGAAAATTTCCCAAGTGTGTCCTGCACACAAAAAGCAGGACAAATCCAAACTGGCCAATTACCGCCCCATAAGCCTACTCTCGATCATCAGTAAAGTGATGGAAGGTGTTATCAACAGTGCTATCAAGCAGCACCTGCTCCAAAATAACCTGCTCAGTGACGCCCAGTTTGGGTTCCACCAAGGCCACTCAGCTCCTGATCTCATTACAGCCTTGGTTCAAACATGGACAAAAGAGCTGAATTCCAGAGGTGAGGTGAGAGTGACAGCCCTTGATATCAAGGCTGCATTCAACTGGGTGTGGGATCAAGGAGCCCTAGCAAAATTGGAATCAGTAGGTATCAGGGGACAAATTCTCCAGTGGTTGGAGTCATACCTGACGCATAGGAGAATGGTCATGGTTGTGAGAGGCCAATC